TTGGTCATTAAGTTGTGCGATGAGCTCATCCACAACAATGTTCCATAGAAGGGGGGAGAGTACACCGCCCTGGGGGCAACCTCTAGCCACCACTCCTCTAGTCACTTCGCTCACAGTGAATTGTATAGCTCTATATCTTAGCATGCTGTCGATCCACCCTGAGATTGTGGAATCAACACCATGCCTAGACAGAGCTTGGCTAATGCTGGTGAAGTTGGTCTTGTCAAAGGCTCCCTCGATATCGATAAAGGTGGCCAGTGTTGACCTTTTGTGATTTAGATTGTCTTCTATATATGAAACAACTCGATGTAGGGCAGATTCTGTTGATTTACCCATCGAGTATGCGTGTTGATTGAGGTGTAGAGGATGACTGACTAACGCAGTTTCCCTGATTTCCCTATCTATTAGCCTCTCAAGAACCTTTAGTAGGAAAGATGTGAGACTAATAGGTCGGTGTGATTTGGGTTGTGTGTAGTCACCTTTACCAGGTTTGGGGATGAAGACTACTTTAACTTCTCTCCATTTCAAGGGGATGTACTGATGCGCCAGGCAGCCCCTGTAGATTTTTATAAGATGGTCCAGTAATGTCGTATCACACCATCTCAGTAGGCCTGGGAAGACACCATCTAGTCCTGGCGCCTTGAATGGTAGGAAGCTGTTAATTGCCCATCTTAGTTTGTCATGGGTGACAACTTTGCGGGCCGTATCCCAGTCTGTATCATCTGGTGGTTTTTCCCATCTGTCTTCCCATTTTTCCATCACATCTGATATGCGACATCCAGGGAAGTGTGTTTTTAATAACAGCTCTGAGGCTTCCGAGTCTGTTTTGGTATACTTACCATCAGGCTTCTTCAGTGAGCCAAGATTGTGTTCGCCTCTACTACACAGTATGCTTTTGACTCTATTGGCCTGGTTGTTGTTCTCTATGTTAGTACAGAAGTTTCTCCAGCACTCAGTTTTCCTGGTTCTGATTCTCTTCTTATATTGTTGTCGGGCCTGCGTGTAGGCATCCCAATGTTGGTCTAGTCGCGAGTTTTTTGCTTTATTGAACAACTTTCTCACTTTACGACGTAGTCTTTCCAGTTCCGGACCCCACCATTGGTGTTTGTTCTGTGGTCCAGTTCTGGGTGTGGAAAGTGGGCATGTTTGTTCAAAGCAATCGATCAGTGTCTGTGTAAGGTTGACAACATGACTGTCAATGTCCTTAACAGTCCCCGTAGCGTATGTTGGGTTGATGCTTCGCAGATTCTCCGCAGTAAGATGTTCATACCGTTTCCGGTCCATCGTGCGGGGATTCCGTCGGGGATCGGGTAGTTTAAGTTTCATTTCAAAGTTAAATTTGATCCAGCGATGGTCTGAGCACGATGCTTCGTTCGAAACATGCCAGTTCGATATGTGTTGCGATGCATGCTCACTTGCTAATGTAAGATCAATTATAGTTTGGGCCCTGGACGTGACAAATGTCGGCTCCGAGCCCACGTTGATAATGTTAAGGTTAGTTGATAATAGGAACGATACAAATTCCTCACCTCTCCGGTTGTTGCTCCTGCTGCCCCACAGCGCATGGTGCGCGTTGGTGTCGGCAGAGATGATCAGCTCCAGACCCTCGCGCTCGCAGTGGTGTGCCAGCGCAGCCAGCTCCGGAGTGGGGATGTCAGCATCGCCCGGCAAGTAGGCTGATGCTATCACCACGTCAGGCAGGTTTGATGAGGGTTCCTTTAACCTAATAGAGGTAAGGTCTCTGGAACAGAACTCGGTCATTAAGGTAGTACACGCATGTTTTGGTGTATAAATACAAGTGCGCGGGTTATCAATGGTAGTGTTGAGAAGTATCTTACCTCCAATATTATTTAGACCGCAGATCCTGCCCTTCCTAATCCACGGCTCCTGGATTAGGGCTACGGTGTTGGTTTTTACCTCCAGCTCTCTGCGTAGGGTAGCCGTTGCTGTATAGCTGTGCTGGAGGTTGGTTTGGATGGCTATAAGGGTGTTATGGGGGGGTGCAGACAGCGCCATCATCGCTGTTCAGCATATCCTCTATGTCGTCGAGGTCACTCTCGCCCACCGGTAGGTCCTCCAACTCCTTAGGAGGTGGACCCCGGCAGGCTGTCTCCTCAACGGGTCTCAGAGGATCCCCTCCATTGCCGTCCTTAGGGTGTTGTAGGGCCGATTCTCCTCCTCCCTCGAATGGCTCCTCGTTTGGGTTAGTTGGTGGGGCGGGACGTTCATCAAGGAAGCGGACGTAGAGGTTACCCAGTTTGTAGTATACTCTACGCTCGCTAGCCTTGAGCTTCACGACGTCCTCTTCTGGGATTCGATCCAGCTACAAGAAAACCTGGATTATTAATGCTAGTTAAAAAGCACAAGCCAGAACCGGTGTACGAAATAGATGAGCTGTTGGGGGAACATGGTCACGAAGTGGTAAGACTTCCACCTTACCACTGTGACCTTAACCCTATAGAGCTCATCTGGGGCATAGCAAAGCAAAAAGTGGCTGCATGTAACATTGGAGCAATCAATATAAAAAAAGCAACTGAGGAAGCCTTTCAAGACATTACTCCTGAAACATGGAATAAATGTGTTGAACATGTAAAGAAAATTGAACAAGATTACTTTGAAAGAGGAAGAACACTCTATGAAGATATAGACAGACTGGTAATTCATGTTGGAGAGGAAAGTAGTGACAGTAGCTCAAATACTGAAGATGATCAAGATGATGATATTATGTCTGGTGTTGAGTATTTAGACAGTGATTTAGACTAGGATTTATTCAATAAATATTTTGTTATTGTTATATTCTTGTTTGTTTTCCTAATTAAAAAAATAGAAATGCAATATTAATAAATAAATTTAAAAAACTCTGAGTATCAGAGACTGAGATACTATACATATATAGATAAACACATACTTAAACCTATAAATAGATACCTGATTAACACCCAGACACAGAAAAAACACCTATGTTCATCACACAAATGTTTGTCCTGGATGGGAATCGAACCCACGATTAGACAAGGCAGGGTCCCTATCAAATGCACCATCCTATCCTATCAATTGGCCAGTCAAAAATTAAAAGACTTGAATTACAAATAATATAAAAATTACAAGTATCAAATTCATTAAGGTCCTAGTATAAATGTTACCATATAAACGATAGTGGCGCCGTCATTTTTTGTCAACTCTTTATGGTCAAGCTGTAAGGAGTTGCACACCTCCGTAGCCACTATCTATGCCTGCCTACAAGCTATATATATGTGTCGTAAAGTTAAAACAACTGATTATTGAATTGAACATGTCATAGGTGTTAAAATAAAATATCCATATCAAATGTGTTTCGATATCATCGTTTATGCGGTTTTACTTGTAACAGTTATTTTTTGGTATATTTGTAATGCGTACGGTCTTGTTAAAAGCGACATCTATTGGCCGCGTCGCATTGTTGTTGATTTATCTAAAGTAGTGTATAACTACAGTATTGATCTTCTTCGTTCACTGTCGGACCACTAGATGGCGTTTTTGTTAGTGGATAAGTCAGTATTGATCTATCATGACAAATTGTATAGGTATTAAGAGTGTTTTGTTATGGTAGAAAGCAAGTTACTTTTGATTTTGTTAGTGTTGTCTTCGTTCACAATTTAAATGTCAAAGTAACAAGAGGTAGGTAGGTAGGAGGAGTAACAATTTAAATGTCAACAGAGTAGGGGTAATTTCTGGAAGCTTCGGGAACCGAGGATATATAAGTCCGGCTTTCAGCCACGGGAGACACTGCTATCTCGTGCCTTCCAATCTTAAATAGTGTTTTGATTGCTGTGTGATTTGATTTTCGTAATATATTATCTGTTCAAAAGTGGTGTTCAAAACCCACAAGAGTGGTGAGTATGGTCTTAATTTTCTTATGTACCTATTTGTTTCTGGAACCTGATTAATTATATGAGTGCTAATCCATTCGTAGGGTCCCAGATTTCGGGGTCAAGACGGTCAGTCTCAGACGGCGTGCTTGCTCGTTTGTGGCCTTCTGGTTCAGACTCAAGTTTCTCGGTACCCTCTGGCAAGCTGGTGATTGCGCGGCTCACGACGACTTATACTTATAAACTTATAAATGCAAATTGTTTAACTTTTATCAATATCTAATATAAATAGCCGACTCAGGCGGAAGGGGAAGTAACCTCCTGGAGTGAAGACGAGGAGGCACCGAGCACCATCAGCTCGGCTCTGACGCGCTCCGCTGCGGGTTTTCTTATACCCTCTGTTTTTTTTTTATTGTAACCTTAATTTTGTTTTTTTATTTTAATATACATGTATGTATGACTGAGGTGTAAGTTGTTTTCCTCTAAGGGGTCCCATGGGTATCCCACACGCACACACTTCTGTTTATTAAAAGGCGCCCTGAGGTAATCTTGTGAATCTCTCCACTGGGTCAGCCGGTGAGTAGTCCGCCTGATAGGAAAAGCGGTTACATACTTGCACTGATCCCCCACAATTTAAAATAAGTACCTGTTATTTTTGTTTTTTTTTTTATGTTCCTGATCTTGACTTCTTGATTGTGTTATACTATTTATAAATTATGTTGATTTATTGATTGTTAGTGTTTGTATTCCATAATAATAAAGGAAACTATTTATTAATTTACTTATTGTTTTCTTTTGTAAACATAATAGTGAAAGTAGAGTTGTTTTTCATTAGTGGTTTTAGATGTTGAATCTGGCGGTGTTAGATTAACTGTTGGCAACACTGGCAACAAGTCAATACTCAATTTAATATTTATCAAAACAAAATAAATGGTTGCAAAGCTATTGCAAAGTGTGGTTCAGTAATGACAATAGTAACAACTAAAGTTAGACATTGAATTAAAACTTTACGAGCTATTCGTTAAAACTTTCAGTAGTCGGTTTGTGATCTAAATAAGTGTCGGCAACAAGTAACTATCACGTTTGATTAAGAATTGTCAATGCGTTCGAGCATCTGTTAAGGTTATATTATTGGCTTAGGAACTAATAAACATGACCAGTTTGTTAAAAGAAATGTAAGTATCCATTGGGCTATTTAGCTAAAATAAATAAATTTAAAGTTATTAGCCTCGAATTAGCATATTTGTAATTCGGTTTGTGTGGTGTATTATTGTTTAACATGTGTTTGATTTAGGTTTGCTTTGTCAAGAAATCTTAATTCTTTGATAAAGATTACACCATTTAGACCAGTATCATGATATAGAGCTCTAATTTGAAATGTAAAAATTCTGTGAAGACCTTAACTGCTCGAAACCACTTCTTGCAACTTGTTTGAAACTTAAAACAAAAGAACACTGTGTGATAAAAGAGTTGTTAGTAGATAGATAGACAAAATAAAAATTACAGTATCACAAGTTCCATTAACAAATTCTATAATAAATTACAGTGCTTATACTTGCTGGCCTTAAATATATATTACAAAAAGTAACTAAGAGGTGTTTGAGGTTTTTCAATGCTCAAGTCTAAGACAAGCTCCAGATGTGAAGATCATGTCCATGCATATACCAAAAATTGTAGCAAGATATTGAAATATGTGTTTGAAATATTTCCAGATATGAGAAAACTGCAGAATATACAGCATTTTATACGGGCGGAGACATTCAGTGGACTGCAGATGGAGTACACCTGCTGTGTCAATGTGAGGATGTTATCAAAGTTGTTGATGTCAATACATTCTCTACCTCCCATATTATTGGAGAAACAGAAGAAGATGGTGAGCCTGATCAAATTTATACTTTCCAAATGTCTCACAGTAATAATTTGGTTCTTACTGCACACAAGAGTGGACTGATGAAGCTCTGGGATAGAGAAACGGGATTACAAAAGAAGGTTTGGAGATCAGGTCACAAAGGACCAGTTGCTAGGTTGGTTTTTGATCCTATAGATGAAAATGTAGCTTCTGGAGGTTCTGATGGAAATATTAGATTGTGGGATTTAACTCACAACACTTGTACAAGCAGTTTAAGAGGTGCAATGGGTGTATTTTCTGTGTTGAAATATCATCCTGATTTATCCAAACAGCTGATATTTGGGGCAGCGGATGATACAAAAATTAGATCATGGAATTCAAAAAATGGTAAAGAACATGTAATATATTCAGGGCATTTTAGTAAGATCACTTCCTTACAATTCACGTCAGATGGTGAACATATGATTAGTTCTGGAAGAGATAGAGTGCTTATCTTATGGAAGATAAATGAAAGCAAGGCAATCAGAGTACTTCCTGTTTATGAAAGTATAGAAAGCACTGTACTTCTGCCATCAACATTTAAAATTCCAAATTTTAAAAAAAAGTCAGAGACTGAAGGTATTTATGTTGCTTGTGCTGGTGAAAAAGGGATTGTTAAAGTATGGAATGTATTGATGAGCCGTCTTATGTTTGAACAAAACAATAGCCTTGTTTCCCCAGCGTCCGAAGAGGGGGGCCTAGCCATTACATATTTGCTGTTTAATGAATTAAGAAATGTCTTATCGGTTGTCACTGCTGATCATAATATTATTATCCACGATTTAGAAACATTTGAGTGTAAAAAGCAGCTAATTGGCTTCACAGATGAGGTGTTGGATATAATATTTGTTGGTAAAGAAGAAAGACATATGGTAGTAGCTACAAACAGCCAAGATTTGAAATACTATGAAATTGATAATATGAATTGTGAAATATTAAAAGGACATACTGACATAGTTTTAGCTCTAGCATGCTTCCCAACGAAACCTGAAATGTTTGTGTCTTCTAGTAAAGATAACTCTGTAAGAATTTGGAGGCAAGATGCTGAAAAAGGAGTAACATGTATTGGAGTAGGATCGAGACATACAGCATCTGTAGGATCAGTGTCTACTTCTCAAACATCAAATGATTTTTTTGCTTCTGTCAGTCAGGATAACTGTTTAAAAGTCTGGGGTGTACCTAAGGAATTTATTGCGACTGACCAAAAAATTAAATCTACTTACACTGAATTAGCACACCAAACGGATATAAATTGTGTGTCAGTGTCTCCTAATGACAAAATAATAGCTACTGGCTCTCAAGACAAAACTGCCAAGCTTTGGTCAGAGGAGCTTACATTATTGGGTGTATTAAAAGGTCATAGGAGAGGAGTTTGGTGTGTGCGATTCTCTCCTGTTGACCAGGTTGTACTAACATCTTCAGCTGATAGTACAATAAAACTGTGGTCTATAGCCGATCTTAGCTGCTTGAAAACTTTTGAAGGTCACGGAAGTTCTGTTTTGAAAATAGAATTTCTTAGTAGAGGACAGCAAATTTTGTCAAGTGGAGCAGATGGTCTCCTTAAATTGTGGAATATAAAAACATCTGAATGTAAAATGACATTAGACAACCATGATGGCAAAGTATGGTCTCTTGCGATTAACAAGAGTGAAAATATAGTAATTACGGGAGGATCTGATTCGAAATTAGTTAAACTAAATGATGTAACAGCAGAGAAACGAGAACAGATGGCTAAAGAAAGAGAACAAGTGATATTGCAGGAACAAGAACTTATGAATCTGTTACATGATAAACAATTAATTAAGGCTTTGAGGTTGGCCCTACGCATGGAAAGACCAAAACATGTTTTAAAAATAGTGAATGAAGTTCTAAAAGATAGTAGTGTTAAACTAAGTGAAACATTAAAGGAAATTAATCATACGCAAAAAGAAACCTTACTAAAGTTTGCTGCAGAATGGAACACTAACAATAAAAACTGTCACGCTGCGCAACTAGTACTAAACATATTGGCGCCGGAAATAATATCAGGCCATTTAAAAGTGCCTAGCTTAGCTAGTTTTCTTGAAGGCGCCCTACCTTACACAGAAAGACATTTTGAAAGGTTAACGAACTTATTGCAAGATCTAAACTTCATAACTTACACTGTGAATTGTATGCAGCCTCATGTTACTAGTCAGTAAGAGTATCAATAAACATATAATGACAAAAAGTTTTTCTCTTAAAACATATTTTTTACCTCATTTTATTTAGAGAAATTTTGAACTGTGATGAAAGAGGAAAAAACATCGTACTACTTCATTTTCTTACGTGATGACTTATTTTGCTGGACAAGGTTTTTCCAAAAGGTTAGGTTGCTTCTGTAATTTCATGGATTATATTCATTATTAGTCATAGTTCTTGGTTCTCGGTATATATAACACAACAAATAAGTATTTCTCGACAGTTTGGGAAATGCAAATTTGTACGTAGTGTGTGTAAAAGCTTAGACATTAGAGCACGTAATCGTCAGTGCTTGCGCAGCCTTTTTCCACGGACAACAAGTTCCGCTTGCGTGCACGCAGAGTCTAGTAGTAGTGAATCGATCGCGCGAAGCAGACCGGTCGCGAATTAAACGCAAGTGTTTTCCGCCAATCGCGACTGTTAAGTTTTTAATCATGAATGTAATTAATAATTCTTTTCTAATTTACACCTTACTTCTTGTAAGTTTACAAAATGCACACGGACAGAAAACTCAGCTGTAAGTATACAATGTGTACATATTTTTTAAATTCCATAATTGTTTGATTTTCTTCGTTTCTAATTGTTTCTTAATTAATTAATTTAAGGTTAATCTACTTGATAGATCTGGATTAATTAATGAAGATAAACCACTATATTTTGACATATGTGATCTATGACATAATTGCTCTTTTTGCCTAAACAAAAAGTAAACCTGTGTAGTAAAAAAATGTTACAGATCGTTTAAAGTTGAAACTACTCTTTGGTTAGAAGCTTAAAATCAAATAAATCCTTAGTCTTAAAAAAGTCTTAAGCGCAACTTGCGGTCTAGTTAATTACTTTATGTAATTAAATATAATTTTAAATAAAATTTCCTAAAAATATTCTAACATCAAATGTATTTAAAGCGTTTTAAAGTTATTTAAAACGCTTTAACTAATAGGTTAATTTTATTTATTATTTAGCGAAGTATTGTAATGTTAGCTATTTTCTAGCCCTGTGACGTGTATATTAATAAGTGACATGTACAAGTATAACCAATGACAGCATTGAAGGGAACAAGTGTTGTGATATGGTTTTTGAGAGCTTCTGCTAAAACATTTTCTTATCATAACAAACTCGACTTCTATCAGCGGATAATGTAACATTTCAATTTATACTTATATCTACTTCGAAACTAATTTTAGATGTGCAAACAATAGGCCGTAGAACCACGTATTAGTACCTGTGCAGTTACTTGTAATCCATACTAAGTACCTACATTTTTATAGGGTTCTCCACAATACAGGGTTAGGATCTTAAAAGAGCCATTTTTTATCTGTAGAAAATATTTAGATATCTACGATTACCCTTAGCACACATACATTTGATGAGAAGTATTTAGGATTCGTAATACGTAAAGACGTGTCGTCGACCAGCCTTGGCCGCGACCCTTCGATTAGTTTTCGACCTCGATTAAATATTGACTATTAAAAAAGGAAGTAGAAAAGCATTTGCCTAAACTTACGTGTATCTAATTCTAATCTAATTATTTTGTGACGATAGTCCATATGTAAATAGGTAGGGAATCCTTTCGATATAATAAAGATTTTTGATGTGACCGAGTTCAAATTCAAAACGTTAAATACAAGTATGTTAGAACACGTACTGCTTGTCTCATACTTAGGTACTTAAAATTGAGGCAGGAGTAAATAAGTCGAAAATACACAGTTTTCGTAGAAACAAATATTTACAGCATGTTTAAAATAGGTCGCTACATTGTACCCATAGGCATACCAATTTTATTAATTAATTCTAATTAAAAATCTTAATTCTAATTATAATGGCTTATTTTAACTAAATAATTTTTCTTAACATATTAATAACACAAAAATAAACAATCAGTTAATAGTAGGCACATCATTTATACGTTAGATAGATGAATGAAATTGAGATGAAATTATAATAAAATCATAATAGGTAATATTATGTTATTTAATTTTTGTTGCTTAGTAAGTTAGTAAGTTAAAATTTAATGGTTTAGTATTAATTTATCGTAGTTCAATTATGCGTACAAATAATGGACAACAATAATGGAATAACAAAAATAGGATTTTTCTTTCTTGTCTTCTAAAAAGTCATTGATTAGGATTTTTGCCAGAAATGTAGAAAGCAAGCATACAGACGGATAATTCAATTTGTGAGCAAACTTTTTTACGAGAATTGGGCCTTCAGCTAACTCAAACAGATAGGACGCAGTAAAAGCTGTAATTGTTATCAAAACTTAACCCGTAATATTTCCATCATCATCGACAGCCTTTACTAGTCCACTGTTGGACATAGGCCTCTCCTTAGAAAGGAGGTTTGTGCTTATCCGTCTATATCGTATAAAACTTACGAAAGTCAGTGTTGAGATGTTAATTTAACTATAAAAGAATATGTCTCCTTTTTAAAATATTTACAACATATTTAAAATATAAAAAAAATAGGTGGTATGATAATCATTTTTATCTTACATCTTCGGTCTAAATACATATATAAATTTGCATAACATCTTATGGACCAATAGGTAAGGTACCATTTTATAACCGTTGCTAATACCATATTTGTCATAATTAGCTTGTTAATTGTACTCGACGATGCGTCAACGTACTCCCATATATGCTTGCTTCACTATTAAGATACAATACATTACTTTTAATAGCCAGTTATTTCAAAAGGTAAAATATACAGAGTCAAAAGTTGCTGGGGACTACCACCCAACTTGTAGTACAATGCCATAAAAAATGATATAAAATTAGAATACACATTTACAACAAATCCATTTATATTCTCGATTTTAGACCCTCTTTTCCCATTTCTTATTATTTTTACAACTTGAAATAAATCTGTCAACGATATGTTTGCCTTAGTAATTCTCACACATACCTCGAGCTGGTAACTCTCTCTCTCTCTATATACATTTGGAAGTAGTTGACACGACCATACCGTGTTTAAAAAATATTTAGTTTTAATTTCTAAGTATTTTTAACATATTCCGTTTTCCCTGTTTGTTGCTCATTAAATTCACCAGGAAGGTCTGAAACTGTACAAAAACAAAACAACTAAACCCTCGATAGGTTAGGTTTTGCGGTAACATTCATGATTAGTGTGTGGTAGAATTAATTTAAAGTACCAATTTTTTCCCTAAATCCAATTTATTACCCCCTATTAAATTAAGTAATAAAATATCAGTCAGATTTAAAAAAAATATGAGTGTGGCCTGTGTAACATTACGCGAAGAATCTTAGGAGCTGAGCAGAATCCATAAACGTAGGTACGGAAAATGGCTAGTTATTAGGGACTAGCTGAACCGCGCCACATCGTCTGCGTCTCTCAAAATTAACAAAAAAATCCCAGTTTTTTTAGTACGAGTATAGCCTGCAGTCTTCCTCCATAAATGGGCTATGCAACACTCTAAATATTTCTCAATTCGGACCTTTAGTTCCTGAGATTAGCGTGTTCAACTAAACAAACTCTTCAGCTTTATAATATTAGTATAGGTACGTCGAGGTTAGATACGAACTCCTGAATAAATCTATGGATAAAATGAATATCTGTAATCTTTTTATAACTTGTATCACATATATTACTTATACCTATATAATAAATGTAATAATTACCTATGTTATAGGTATTGTATAATATACTCGTATTAGGATTGTAAATATTTTGAGATGTTATATAATCGTCATTTTGTAATGTTTCAAATGCTTGCAAGTTTCTTGCACATTTCTACTTCAAGATCCCCCTTATCTTCTTACCTCACATCAGTAGTAAATATTTTTAGTAGGGTTCTTCCCTAGGAGCGCTCGAACTTTAAAATAGTAACGAAATGATATTTTTCATGTGAAGTTGAACACATTATCTGAATCTAAACGTACCCAATGAGACTTTAATCTTAAAGACAGCAGTTGCTTCGTTTTAAGCTCACCGGTTTAAAAAACCCTCCTAGACATCTAGTTTTGATTTTTTTATATTGTATTGAAATTGTATTGTAGGGAAATCTTTAAAAGTTAATGAAAAACGAAGTAAGTTTGAGTCAGATGGGCAGATGACCGTACATCTCTTAAGGTGAAATTCTTAATTTCACAATTTTTATCCCAGGATTAATTTTCCCACTACAGATAATCTCATTAACAATCAGATTATCTGTACATCGTTAACTGTGATAATCTCTTCATTATCTCTGTAAACGTCCGTCGCCGACACTTTTTAGTAAAACCGAAATATTTTGTGTTGTACTATGAAATTAAATTGTGGACGCAATGAGAATTTGTAAGTTCAGTTGCTTCTAATCTTCATAAACAGTGTCAAAAAGGATACCGACAAAAAGGAGGTAGGTTTAACATATACGTATGTTACGTCCAAAAGACGAAGTATATGTGTGCGTTCGATAGTAAATGGATAAACTTAGGACTTTCTTCTCTTGGGTAATACTAGTTGTGGATGATGAGATTCGACTAAAACAAAGTCTAATTTCTTTTTAAGTAGCCTAGTGAGTTAAATTTAGCCGTGTTATTCAAATACCATCTGACCCGCCCAAATTCAAATTCAAATTTTAGATATATGTGGTATAAATGGGGTGGCACGTATTATGGTATTAAAGGCTTAATATAATGCGAACAGGCCCATTTAGCCGTCAAAATAGCATGCAAATTTAACATTTTATTTAAAATAACTAATGTGTTAGATATAAAATTATAATAGATATAATCCGTGTGGTGATGGATTAAGAATACGGAGCGTCACCGCGTCCCGTGGGTGTCGTAAGAGCCGACTAAGGGAGCAAATTACGCGGGACAACAGCACTGCATAAAGAAGGAAAAGAACAATGGCAGAAACATATTTACCTAAAACTGAAGCGTTTAAAAAATTGACTAACAGTAAACTTACTAAATATTTTTTCTATGATTTATCATTATACCGCCACGTGTTGTATAAG